CAAGCTATTAAAACTTACTATTTCAGAAAAGTGAGAAAGAGAATGGAAATATTTTTTCTATTATTTTTGACATAGTTTTTAAAATAGACATTTATAACTAGTGTTTTCTACTAGGTAGAGGAGTTTCAAAAAGAAAGAAGGGGGAGGGGGAGGGAGAGTAGCTGAGTACTGTGGATCATATCTGTAATCTTAGCTACGAGACAAGGATCCTGAAGATCACAATTAATTCAGCCCAGACAGAAAAAGTCTGTGAGATTATCCCAAAAAGCACACAGTAAAAAGCCTAGCAGGAGACATGGCTCAAATAGTAGAGCACTGGCCATGAGCAAGAAAGCTGCCGCAGAGTACCAAGGTTCTGACTTTGAATGCTAGTACCAACAAAAAAGAGGGGGAGGAGAGAGTAGCAAAAGAAGAGCTAGATGTATGTTAATAAACTCCAACCACTTGCTATCAACCTATTTCAAGATGTGCTTCTATAATTCATTTTGTAAATGTAATTTAGCATTTACGTATTAAATACATCAATAAAATTTAGTGTATTTCCCATGTATTCTCCCCAAATAAGAAGCATACTTTCTTAAACTGAGTTGAATAGTGTTATCTTAATCTTTCAGTGCCTTATTAACTTTAAATGGATGTGCAGATTCATGTTCAAATGGAAAATCCTGTAAAATATTTGCAAAGATGACTTGGTTTCTCATTGAGTAGTAATTTGACATATCATGGAATGACAACATAGTATTTTTTAATATTAATGCCTGCCATATTGTTTTATACATCCAACTCTGCCCAAACATTTGGAAGCCCTTAGTCCCTATCAAACCAATACCTACACAAAATTCAAGAACTAAAGAAGCTGGTGCCATTCTAGAAAACATTAGTGCTGTAACACTAAAGTGCCATTTATACAACCTTTAAAACTGAAAAGAAACTACTTCATACTTTGTTGAAGGTAGGTCATTTGTAGCATCTAAAATTCACTTTTTTATAAAATGATATTTTTATCAGCACAAATATAGATCTTACAAGCAGGAAATGTAAGCTCAAATACAGTTATGAAAGCAATGCAAACACTTATGGAAACCACATTAACTCTAACCACAGTTAAGACTTTCAATAATAGAATCCATCACTTCCCTCATATTCATGACTCACTGTCACTAGAAAAACCAGTTTGCATCTAGTTTACTTACTGATTATATGAGCATCTGCCTAGATTTTGATAGTTTCAGCATAGGCAAAAGAAAAGTTACCTAGGTAATGTAAAGAGACAGGATGTGTCTTCAGTCTGTGATTACAAAAAGAATTTAACAATATCATTCTCTTATAAAAACCTGAAATATTCAACTGAGTGTATATGCTCAAAAAAATCAGCCTCAAGATTTATCTCAAAGTAAAGGCCTAAAGTGCCTGAATGTTTATTAAAGGAATCCCTGGGAATAATGTTATCTCTAAGTCCACATGCGACCAACTCAGCTTGGCAATTCAGCACTTACAGGATAGTTATTACAGACAAACATTATATAAAATACAGCACTGATTATATAGCATATACTTTCTCTTTCAGGGGCTTCTAATCAAGTGGGTGAATGGAATATATATACAAATTACTATGAACCTTTTTCAGGTTATTCATTCAAATCACAGAATATAGAGAATACACACATGCTCTAAACTTAGTATCCCTTGCTATGGATGATTGGTATCCATATATTTTTAAGCAGGAGAAGCAACAAAATCATAGAAATAAAATGTTTTTCTAGCAATAATGCAGATGAAAAGGGACACATAAAAGCAGGAAAACCCACTCTGAAATTACAGGAATCATCTCAGCCTCATATATATAATAATGTTCTTAACTACAACAGGATCAGTAAAGATAAAAAGATGAGTCACCATGATAAATACCAGGGCTAAGAACAGAATGAGTGTCTTTTTTCTGTGTGTGTCACTAAGGTTTGAACTCGGGTCCTGGTATTTGCTCAGCTTCCTTGGCTGGCAACTAGCATTCTATCACTTGAGCCATACCTCCAGCCTTGTCTCTAATGCTTTTCCCCTGAATGATTGGAAAAGAAGTGATATCATGAAGCAATGATAGAAAGAGTAGTTAAAATGAGTTAGAAAGAAATACAAATGGCTTCAATTTAAAAAAACAAACAGCAAACTGCCTTTTTCGACACCTTTGTCGAATAAACATTTGTATATTACAAAAAAAAGCCATAATTAGAAGGCCAGATTTTAAAGTATTTATATCCCAAGATTAACTTTTAAAGTCAGAAATGCCCCTGAAATAAAAAATACCCTAATTAACTGTTTAGTGATTAAAAATAACATCCTTGTCCTTTGTAAGATGCTAATGTGAGATGATGTTACTGATCATTTTAGTAGTTACACAAACTATTCAATAGCTAAAAGTAGAAAAATAAATTAGACTATACAATGTTCTTGAGATGACAGTAAGTCTAAGTGAATTATCTGAAATACCAGAGGCATCTGTTTTCTGAGAAGACAGGGGAAGGACAGAATATGCACTTCAGGTAAACCTTCAGTGTCAGAGGGTTCTTGGTGACATTTGTGAGCTTTGCTACATCTTACTTTACAAATATTTGGACTATATACACAGTCCTGTAAGGTAAAATTAAACCAGTTCTTTCCATGCCAGAATCAACTGAGACGCTTATTAAGAACATGTCATATGCACCATTCTGTAATTTATTGTAAACAAATCTCAAGGAATACCTTATATAACAGTCTCACAATTTAGAAGCTATTAATTTTTTCTATATATTTATGTTTTTTATATTTTATATAATTTAGTTATTTATACATAACACCTTAGAACAGCATTTAAAGTCCATTACATGTTTATGTAATTATCATTATTTTTGAACAAAGGATAAAACTAAGCATTTGTAATATGATGGCTATTAAGCAGTCTTGAAGAACTCAGTTATAAGCTTCTGACCAAGAATAAGACTTGCAGTATAAAAACTATAAAAACACATTGTTTCATAAACAGAAGTGAAAGTGAAGTTCCACATTGATGGCAATGTCTTTTGCCACATAGCTGTTTACCACAGAAGGAAAGCATAAAGTCAGCTTTGCTTTGTATTTTGCATAGCAAAGCTTGACTGTGGAAACTTACTCCATCAAAAAATTTAAATCTATTTTTAATTTTCAGTTGTTCATATATTTCATGTAAATTCATGACAGAAATGCAAGTACTAAATTATCATGTGCAATAGTATTAGCAATAGCAACAAACATCTAAAACTCAGATGAACACTCATCAAAGATCCCAGCTTATTGACAAATAGTAATGGTTTCTTTCCTTTTCAAAATTTGTTAAGGCCTTGAATTTGATATCATTTCTAAATAAAGTGGTCTGAAATATAAGCTATTAAGCTCTTTAAAAAATGTCTTACTTATACTTTTGTAACAATATGCACACAAATTAATGTTATAGCAATAAGCCTGATACTACTGTTTAAAGTTTCTTTTATGAAAATCTTAACAAATTTACTGAAATGTGTATTCCTGCTTGTTTCTATGAGATCACAAACCTAAGGTAAATTGAGGAAACTATCATAGCATTAAATATTTTTGCTTTATATCCTAAAACAAAATTTTAAAGTTAATACTAACAGAAGGTAAAGTGTATCATAGCCATTTGTAGGAAGCCACAAACAATTAGGCACTAAAACTTTTATTTGAAAATACTTTTTAAAATTAGGTTTAATAAATCCAAATACAGAATAATGTTTAAGTTAAAATATTTAAGCTATATAAAATGCATTTATCTAATTCACTAAACCAAGTATTTAAACATTGAATTCATTTCTCCATATATACAATCTTCCAAAGACTATGGAATTACATAATCTAATTCTTAACAGATTGCTGCAAATACTGAGAAAGAAATATGTTATGTAAATAAAGCTTAAAGGGAAAGAGCTGTCTTAATCATTAGGCCTTAATCATAGGACTTTTCCATTTTCTTTATCAAGTGTTAATCATTAATCCTATTATTAGAAAAATGAAGTTAATCTAAGAGATTCAGAGAGCAAGGTAACCTGATTTTAGGAGTTAAAAGAAACACAGCAAAAACTTAAAATTTAGAAATGTCTCATGTAAGTATTACCAAAAGTTACCCGCTTTCCTTGACCTGTACAATATTAACTACTTCCATGAAAGTCCCTGCAAAGAACTGGCCCAGTGCCAAGTATCCACAGGACAGAGAATAAGGAAAATGTAGCAAGTTTAATTACCTACCACACCTGTTTTCAGAAATATTTAGGGTTGAGTAGATGAGAAGCTCAAGAACATTTAAAAAAAAAACATATGTATATGTTGCAAACAAAAAAGCACTCTCAATCTATGAACAACACATGATAAAACATGTTGTTGCTCTATTCCTTTTCCCAAAAACATTTTTATGTATATATAAATATATGTGTGTGTGTGTGTGTGTGTGTGTGTGTGTATATATATATATATATATATATATATATATATATATATATTCCTGAAACCTAAACTTCTATTTTTCCTACTATCCTAGTTACCTTCCTAGGCCCACCCTTACGACTAAAAAGACATTTTAGATATTTTGGCAATGAATCTTGAGAAAAGCACAGAAACTGAATAAAAAAGTAGGGAAAAGAAAATATTAATTACTTTTTCCTTATAACTAATTGCTCCTCAAAAACCAAAGCAGGTACATCTCATACTTAAGATGTATTAGAAGGGAAATAAAACTCTCCAGAGAAGAATAGGAATGGTAATACCCTTCATTCTACTCTACATCAACTTCGAAAAAAGTTCAATACATAGAAAATTAATATTTGGAAAGTATCTATAGTTCTCAATGCAATAATCACTCCAAAAGTAACTCCAAAGGAAAATAAGTTGTTACCAACCTACAGAGCTCCACTTAGAGAGTTCCACCTCTTTTAAAATGTAAAATGTAAAATGGTACAAACTATGAGACAATAACTTACTTGAGTTGGAACAAGCACAGGAGGGTAGGCCATCTTGTGATGCCTATACACCCAAAACGCACAAATGACAATTCCCGCAATTAACATAAGTGGCACCAGAGAATAGAGTAGGATGTTGTAATAGGGTGGCTTAGGAGTAACAGGATTTGAAGTGGCTGTGGAAAAGGAAAAACAACTCAGATTTGGTATATAAAAATTCTATTATTAACACTTACTACAGTGTCAAAGTTTCAAAAAAACAAACCCAGAATAAAGAAATATTAGTAAATTATTCCAACAACAGAATTATAATCTCCTTTCAATATACTACTTTAACAAACAACTATCTTCCTTGGGAACTTACGCTGTGTGATCTCCATCTCCGGAAAATAAGAAAACTTTTCATTACACATATTGCCTTCACAGCAACAAAAATATACTTCAGGGCTGTCTTTTTTCTCTATACAATCAGTCCTATAAACAAACAAGCAGAAATAAAGTCAGCATTATTATACTAACCCTACAATAGGTCATTTTCTTCTCAGAGACAATAAGTTATTTGCATTTATTAGTTTATAATAATCACTCCTTAAAAGCCAAAATGATCCTACATTCTTATTACTAAGCTCTTCAGAAAACCAAAATAAACAGCTGAATTTATAGTAATCATTCCTTGGGATTATTACTCTAAGGCAACCATTTATTTGTTTTTATTAGAAAAGCATGAAGAGGAACATAAAGTCAACGAGGTAATTTGGTTTAGAGGTGCTTTTGCTCACAGAAAGTATAGCTCTTTCATTTCATGAGAACTGAAAACTAAGGACTTGAGATATGGTTTAGTACCAGAGTGATTGCCTAGCATGTTTGAGGCCCTGGGTTCAATCTCTAGTACTGCAAAAACAAACAAATGAACGAACTGAAAACTATATAAACAAGCACACACTCATACACATACACAGAGTAAGTGATCCAATATCATAAACATGTTTCAACATTGGAGACCCAAACTAGCCTGGAAAATTGATAGCAAATTTAAGTTTCCTGACCATAATGAACAAAGATGACATTTTTAAAAAACGGAACAAGAAACATACAGAACCTAGCAATTCAAATTGATTAGGGTAAGAGTGAACTTTAAAAATCCTTAAAAAAAAAAAAAAAGCAATCCTCTATAAATGACCAAAGATATGAATTTAACATTATGGTTCATACCTATAATCCTAGTTAATCAGGAAGCTGAGATCAGGAAGACTGAGACTCAAAAGGCCAGTATGGGCAAGGACCCATTTCAACCAATGCACAAAAAACAAACAAACAAAAACAACAGTCTGCAAGATCTCAATCATGAAAAGCTGATGTGGCTATGTACAACTGTCAACCCAGCTAGGCAGGTAGCATAAACAGTAAGACTGTAGTCTGCAGTCCAGACATAGCCAAGGCATGAACACAAGACCCTCTTTGAAAAAATAAAGTAAAAAGGGATGCAGATAATAAGTCATGAGTAGTTAAGTGTCTGCCTAGCAAGCTCAAGGCCCTGAATACAAATCCTAGTACTCCCATTCCCCACAATGAAACACTGATTTAACTTCTAGAAGAAAGCTTTACAGCCACTAAGAAAGTTATACTTATATTTTAAGAACAATATTCTAAATATTGCTTGTAAACATTAAGTAGATTTCAAAAGACTTACATTACTAAACTTAGTGAAAATGTTGAACAATAATACAGCTCATTATAGTTACTGAGGAGGCTGAGATTGGAGAATCAAGATTTGAAGCCAGCACTGGTAGGAAAGTTCATAGCTGAAATTAGTCGTAGAGCTCTGAGTTCAAGTCCCAGAACTGACACAAAAAGTAATAATTATAATAATAATAATAATATGGCTCAGATTAACTCTGAATAAAAAGATCAAGGAATTTTAAAGAAATGAGTTTTAATCAAACTTTCAAACAGAATCTGTACTAATATCTATTTAGGAAAATATAAACAGACAAATTCAAGTTTTCTTCCACATGTTATCATTTATTAATCTTTTTCTTTCTCCTACTACCTTTATTATTTGTTTTTCAGTCAAATTTAGAGCATTAAAATAAAATTTACATACTTTTTATCAGCTGGTATACTAAAATATCACCCCAAAATTGAGCATTTACACTAAACAGTACACTCTATAGACCTCCAATGAATGATTCACTACCTGTTTCAAAGAATACTTTGAGTCTCACAGAACTAAAATCCTAGCTAGGTAAGATCTTTTATAACCAAAAGTGGGGGGAAAAAGTGCCATCAGGAGGTTAAGATCCAGAGAATTTCAGTTCAAAGACAGCCCCATCAAAAAATTCCAAGAGCATTCATCTCCAATAAAATAAAATAAAATAAAATGCTGGGCATCTGTAATCCTAGCTACTCAAGAGGCTGTGATCCAAGAAAGCCAACCTGGGTAGGAAATTATATAAGACTCTTAACTCCAATTAACCACCAAAAAGGCTGGAAGTGGATCCATATCTCAAGTGGTAGGCACTAGCCTTGAACAAACAAAGCTCAGGGTCAGTTCCCAGGCCGGGACCAGCAACACACACACACACACTATACACACACACACACACACACACACACACACACACACTATATATATATATTTCAACTGACTAATAAAAGGTAGTTTTCAACAAATATGATCCCCAAATCTTGATTGTACACTATACACACACACACACACATTTATTTATATATGAGTGGCTACGTTTAATATCTTATAAGAAGTGTAGGAGCTAGCACTATTCACAACAGCCAAGTTAGAAAAATAGCCCAGATGCTCTACAATAGGTGATTGGATCCAAAAAATGTGGTACCTATATACAATGGAATTTTACACAGCCATTACAAAAAATAATGTCAGTTGCAGGGATACGGATGGACCTAGAACAAATCATGTTAAGTGAGATAATTAAAGTTCAGAGAGACAAATGGCACATGTTTTCTTTCATGCGGCAGCTAGATCTAAAATACTGGACATAATAAATTACACAAGTCTCTAAGCATTCATACACAGTGAGACTCAAGGAAAATACTCTTAGGAGAGAACAGAAAGGCACAACGCCTATGTGCATCTGATTATATAAAATAATATTTATTGAAATGAACTCCAGGAAATGAAACCAAGGGTTTTTGGGGATTTTTTTTTTGCTCTATTTGTTATCTTCCCTTTTTGTTCCGTTTGTTCATTTATATGTCTTTGGGAATGTAAAGGGAGGCACAGAAATGGAGGGACAAAAGGTGAACAAATGCAGTAATGATACTCACTGGACACTATTTTGAAAATAAACTATACAACTTACAGGTGGGAATGGGAGGGAATAAGTAGGAGAGAGCAAGGGAAGGTGTGACACTGTCCAAAAAGAAATGTACTCTTTACATGACTAATGTAACTATAACCCCTCTGTACATCACTTTTATGATAACAATCCAAAATGTTTTGAAAAGAATTTGCACCTAAAAAAAAAAAGTGTTCATAATGCTATTTGCAGCACTTATTGAATTTATGCTTATATCAATCACCTATGTCTAGGAAATCAGATTCCAGGTAATCAACTGAGGCTCTAATCTAGTATTTGGTTGATATAGCACCACTTTTTGACTATAAAATGCCTTGTTATCTGGCCTTTGCAGGACTTTGCCAGTCTTCAGCACCAACCCTAGTGGAAATTCTATGGCCCAAGAAAATAATCGATCAGTTTCCATTTATGGAAATTCTTACTAAAAGATCTCAAGTAGTCAAAATAATATAACCACTGCATTTTACTCTGTGAAATAACTTAAACAAGACCCTTTAAATAAACTGTAGCTTCATAATGGCTGCTGCTTCTGATGTAATTCTTTTTTTGGTCAGTCATGGGGCATGAACTCTGGGCCTGGATGCTATCGCTCAGCTCTTCAGCTCAAGGTGAGGGCTCTACCACTTGAGCCAAAGCACCACTTCTGGTTTTCTGGTGGTTTATTGGAGATAAGAGTCTCATGGATGTTCCTTCCCAGGCTGGCTTTGAACCACCATCCTCAGATCTCAGCCTCCTGAGTAGCTAGGATTACAGGTGTGAGCCACTGATTCTCAGCACCTGATGTAATTCTTAATGTCCAATTAAAATGTCTCGAGCTAGGTGCTAGTAGTTTATACCTGTAATCCTAGCTACTCAGGATGCTGAGATCTGAGGATTGTGGTACAAAAAGCCAGCCTGGCAGGAAAGTCCATGAGACTTTTATCTCCAATAAACTAAATCTCCCCAACCAAAAAAAAAAAAAAAAAGCCTGAAGTACAGCATGGCCCAAGTGGTTGAGTGTCAGCCTTGAGGAAAAGAAGCTCAAGGACAGCACTGAGGCCTTGGTTCAAGCCCCAGTACCGGTGCACACACATAAAAACACAAAAGTCTGCTCATGTAAAAAACAAAGGACTACTTCAAGGGAAAAAAGGGGAAGAGCAAACAAAATGTAACAAAATCAATTTCTCCTAGATATATAATGAAGGAACCTGAAAATAAATTATAACTACAATTAAGGTTTACTCTCTTTGAGGATATTTTTTTTTTATCCAACAGATATACTTTCTTGGAAAACATTTTTTTATCATTTTTGAGATTAAATGACTACATAAATTTCACAGTATTGTAGATAGTGATACTTAGTTAAATAACAAACACATTTTAACCTTCACAAGGCAAACTGTCATTATCTTGGTCTATAAAGTTTGTGAATTATACAAGCTTTAAAGGTACAACTAGCTGTTCCTTCTTTCCCCCTTCTTCCTTCCCTCCCATAGCTGCCTTTGAGTCACTTAGTTCATTTTCATCAATGTCCAGTGCAGAAGAATCAGAGGGAAACGGGAAAAAAAATACAACAGAAAGTATATTTTTAATTAGATAAAAGTTTATGATCTCAATAACATGGGAAAATAAGTCATTTTTATCCGTGGTTCCACTACTCAGTAGATTATAACTATATCAAGAATAATACATAAACATACTATGTTTATTTTAAAATATATATCTTATCACTTACATATGTTATAATTCCTAATTCCATCTCTAAAAAAACATGAAATATTTGTATGAAAATCCATGTTTTGATCTTTCCCATTTCAAAAGGAGGGAAAAATAAAATTGAATGTCATCATATAAAATAATGTCCTTACCTGTCGTAACAGTTGATATCATCTAGCCAACAGCCTTGTTTCACTATTTCAATGGAACCAGAAATATTCTTCCAGGTAGCAAAACAATGTCTCCTTTTATCTTTGTCACCATAACAAGGTTCAACACCAGTTTGATTGGTTTTGTCTCTTTCCCAATTAGCATTAAAAAAAAGACACTCCTGAGTTTCCGATCTACCAAGTATAGCACCTATAAGATAATAAAACAGCAACTTAATATAACTCAATTCTTAAAGAGATTATTTCCCAAGATAGCAATTTCAGGTAGTCCTAAAATATTAACAATTTACTGTTTCTGGGTGTTACAACTCTGGGTTTATGTTTCAGGTTAATAACTGTACTTTAAGTATAAAAGCAATCATAATAATCTGACAACCACATCTTTATCACGATTTCTCTGGACAGTGTCAGATTCATTTCACTTAAGAAAATCCTTGATGAAAGACAGCAGAAATTGTCAATTCTTAAAAACACAATTCTTTAATAAAACACCAAAATTTTATGTGACAAAATACAAACCAAGAAAACACAATTCTTCACTATCTACACAGTAAAGTAGAACAGTTGCCTCAAGAGAAAGCCCTTGTATGATTGAATTGTAGACTAAACAAACCATTGCTATTCAGACTTAGAAATCTGGCAGACATGGTCTCAAAAGTTTACTGCAAGAAAAACTATTGACAGTATACAGTGCCAATAATAAAATTTATGTTCTCAAAGCCAAGCCTCAGTGGCTCACATCTGTAATCTTAGCTATTCAAGAGGCTGAGATGTGAATATCAAGACTCCAGGCAAACCCAAGCAAGATAGGTCTCTAAAACTTATCTCCAATAAACCAATAAAAGCCAAAGTGGAGCTGTAGTTCAAGTAGGAGGGCTCCAGTCTTGAGCAAAAAAAAGCTAAGGGAAATAGTACTAAGGCCCTGAATTCAAGCTCCAATATCTGAACCAAAAAAAAAAAAAGAAGTTATCAGGTAAAATTTAAAAAATAATTCAGAAGAACAGTAAAAGGAAAGAGTAATTTAGAGTTATGATCAAAGTGCTTTATATGTGTGTATGAAAACAGAATAATGAAACCCCTTTAAAATTATAAATGAAAGGGGAAATTAGAAATGATGGGGGGGATAAAACTCAATCAAACCCTACTCTATTAACATAAAGAAACTTTTGCACAATACTTGTTAATGAAAATACAAAAAAAGTAAGAATTTTGGAAAACCTTAATGGCAAGATTCCCCATATATAAAGAATTTTCTGATGAGATCAGTGATAATATTAGCAAATATGAGCTTTAAGTATTGAAATGAGTCAATATTTAGAAATAAAATTCAACAAATCAATACTATCTGAATGATTTATGTGTGATGCTACAAAAGCATTTATGGACCAAAAAAATACATTCAATATGCAAGAAAGTTCAATAGATTTTAATGTTACTAAAGACAAAAAGTTCATTAATAGTAGCAGATTCTATAATGCAACCAAATTTAAAGATATTATGTTAAAGGAACTGAAGTACCCAAAATAATTCTGAAAAGAAGTGCAAATAAGAATTCATACCTCTTGGTTTTAAGGCTTCCTATAAAATTTCTGGCAACAAATAGAGTGGTTTTAGTGAAAAGGCAGAGATGTGCATCAAGAAGACAAACAAGAACATCTAGAAATAGACTTACACATACATGATCAATTGATGCACAGTAAAGTTGCCAGACAATTCAATACCGTTAACAATCAATGTTGATATAAGTAAAAATTCATATGCCAAAAAAGTAACTTCAACTACTATCTCAGGCAGCATAAAGAAAATAAGTCTAAAAATAAAACCTAAAACTATCGAACTTCCAACAGGAAACATGAAAATCATTTTGACCTGGATTATGAAAATTTTCTTATAATACAAAATACATAAACTATAAAAGCACTGAAAAATTCAGCCTCATTAAAATAAAAACTTCTATTCTTCTCTGGGGCAAAGATTTTTTTTAAGCCACTGAGAGAGAATACTTGGAAAACAAATTTCTAAAAAGGGATTGAAGCCAGGCATGATGGAACATATTTTTAACAATAACAAAATTTGAATTTTCAAAGCTAGGCACTGGTGGCTCATGCCTGTAATTCTAGCTACTCAAGAGGTTGTGATCTGAAGGTTACAGTTCAAAGCCAGCCTAGGCAGAAGCCTCTGAAATTCTTATCTCCAATTAACCACCAAAATCCAGATGTAGAGCTGAGGCTCAAGTGATAAGAGTGCCAGCAGAAAAGCTAAAGAACAGTGCCCTGGCCATAAATTCAAGCCCCATTATCAGCATGTGGGCAGGTATATACACGTGCATGCACACCACACACACACACACACACACACACACACACACACACACACACACCCTCTCTCTCTCTCTCTCTCTCTCTCTCTCTCTCTCTCTCCAGGAGAGTGGTTTGGATTATAATGTTCCCTAAAAAGCTTATAAGGGGACATGTTGAAGATTTGTTCCCCATGGGATGACACTAATGAGAGGTGACTGGATCCTGAGGACTCTGATCAAATCAATTGATAAGTAGGTTACCAAGTGTATACCATGAGGAGATATATCTTGTCACTGGTCTTTCTACTTCCTGGCAACAATGAGGTGACTAATTTTGCTCCATCATATTCTCCCCACGTGGTGCTCAGCCTTGCCTCAGGCCCACAGCACAGGAACCAGCCAACTAATCCAACTGAAACCTTCAGAATCTTGAGCAAACAAAACCAACAACAAAAATCCTTTGTAATTTGTTTGTGCTATGTCTTTTGTCACAGCAAGAAGAACTGATGAACTAGGGATCTTATTATTTAAGAGCCAAAGTTAATCCTGAGACCAATATCTTGACAATGTATTTATCATAGAATATAATTATAAGCTGATAGTATCAGTTAATAATAGTGGTGTCATAAAGTTGCCCTTAACTAGAGAAGAAATAAGCATGAACTGATGTTACACAAACTATGTTGATAACTATGTCAACTGTGCTCTATTAAAAAAACATGATTTCTACTACTACTTATCTGTACAAAAACAGTAGCAATTTTTGAAATTATCCCTTTTCAGAAACTTCTTCAAAACATGAGCAAACTAACTTTCCTCCTTTACCAAAAAAAAAAAAAAAAATCTAAAAGCATTTACGGCCCACACTGTTATCTTAAAACAGAGATGGCAAACTTTTTCTGTAAAGGTCCAGACAGTAAGTATTTTAGGCTTTGCAGGCCATATGGTCTGTCGCAACTACTCAACTCTGTTCAAGCACAAAAGCATCCATAGACAGTAAATGAATGAACATGGTTATGTTCCAATAAAACTTTATTTATGGACACTAAAAATTAAATTTCATGTATTTTTTAATTTCACAGTTTTTTTAAATTTCAAACCTTAAATGCAAAAACCATTAATAGTTCTATGTCACATTTGGCCCACAGGTGTTTGTTCTGCTATTCCATCTTTTAAAAAAATGTCATCACTAATTCCAACAGTCTAGCTAACTGTGTTTTATTTGTTTGGAGGCAGAGAGGTTCTTATATTATCGGCTATTTAATTCATGTTAAGAAAAAGTATATATATATATATATATATATATATAATATATATAATTTGCAATTTCCAAAAAAAAGAGCTATTGAAGCATAAAACAGCCCCTTAAACTAAAACTGAAAAAAAGAAGGAAGGAAGGAAGGAAGGAAGGAAGGAAGGAAGGAAGGAAGGAAGGAAGGATGGATGGATATTGACTACTGCAGAAATATCAAACAGATTACACCTTTGTTTTCAATTCCAATTAATGAATGGGAATATACTGAGAAGGATTCTGAGAATTTTTCTCTTTTTTTATATCTTGAATATTTTTTTATTGTGAAAAAACTTTACAGAGGGATTATAATTACATGGGCAAGATAATGAGTACATTTCTTATCAAGCATTGTAGCCTCCTCTGAGAATTTTTCTTAAGAGGATTTTTATAGTACTATATTTATAGTACTATTTATACTATTATTATACTATAATAATACTATTTATTATATTATTGACTGTATTTGCACACCTTTCCTCACTTCATTCATTTGCCCCCTCCCCTTAAGTCTCATCTTCTCTCAGAAAAAACGTTTCAGCTTTCTTGTATTCATTTTGTTAAACTATCTATTAAGGGAAAACAACATGGGAATATACTCCTGAGAATATCACATATTACAAAATTTTACTATGGGGCTGGGAAGGTGGCTCAGTGGTAGAGCACTTGCCTTGCATGCCTGAGGCCCTAGGTTCGATTCCTCAGCACCACATAAGCAAAAAAAAGAAAAAAGCCAGAAGTGGAGCTGTGGCTCAAGTGGTAGAGCACTAGCCTTGATCTGAAGAGCTGAGGGACAGTGTCCAGGCCCAGAGTTCAGACGACTGGACCCCCTCCCCCCCCCAAAAAAAGAAAATCTTACTATGTATACAGTCAATAATAAAACAACAGCATGGGTAGGAAAAGTCGGAGATGCTTTTATCTCCAATAAAACTGAGAAAACGCTGAAGTGGTGCTGTGGCTCAAGTGGTAGAACATTAACCTTGAGCAAAAAGAAGCTCATGGGCAGAGCCTAGGCCCAGAGTTGAAGCCCCAAGACCAGCTAAAATAAAACAAACAAAATTAAATGCATATTACATATACACATTTATTGTGTGTGTATATATATATATATGCACATGTACATGTGTATTATGTGTTAACTGTATATGTATTTTTTTCTTTTGATCAAATGTTCTTCCCTAATAAGAATCATGGGCTTAATAGGCTAAGTCTGAACCAGGAAAGTAGTTTACAAACTATGACCTTGACTAAGCCAACAACTACCCTGTTTCTACATCTCTAAAATTAAGTGGACTAATTTCCAAATTCTTTTCCAGTTTCTTAATTCACATTTACTCAAAGAAAATCAGAAATCTGTCATATAATTCATTAACTAAGTTAATTTAGATAATGACTTTATATTTGAAGTAATAGTTATATATTAGTGACTTCATACTAACATCTTCATTTTTCCCAACAGTGTTAAGTCTCCCAGACCCAGTGTTTCACACCTGTGACTCTAACTACTCAAGAGACTGAGACCAGAGGATCATAGTTCAAAGGAAAGTCCTGGAAAGACAAGTCCAGGCACTGGTGGCTCATGCCTGTAATCTGTAA